GGGGCGGGAACTCTGATGCTCTAAGCATCCAAACCTATGGAGCCAAGTAATCATAGTTCGCGAGGACTAGTACTCACCAACTCGTGGGTATTCAACGTGGAAAGCAACGTGGGGGCCAACCTCATATTGTGGCAAGTCTACGTGCGCGATGCGCCCGATAAGGGAAGAAACTGAAGGCATCTTGGATCCGAGGTAGAAATATTTGGCCGCGGTCGGTGCGATTACGATTTGGCCACTTTGCTCAAAATCCCGGGTGCTTTCGGCGAGCAGACCATAAAATTCATCAAATACTGACTCCGGCTCGTGTGGTATGAGCTCCCTTCCCCAGACCTGTTCGGAGTTAGATAATGTGTTCGAGGGCGTCTTAGCGATTGGCCCCCAGGCGAAAATAGAATGGTCGTTGGGGTATTCGCGGACTATAGCCTCCTGGAGTCGGCGAAAAGCCTTCGGGCCCTCGCCATAGATGAGCGGCATGTTGACATTGAAGATGCCGAGAAGACAGTAGGCTTCATCCTCCTCTCGCGACGTCGTTCTCTTGGCCGCCCACGACATGCGCTGCGCGATGCTTGCTTCATCGAGACTCCTCCCGGTCAAAAACGGCTCGTTGATGCGAGTAACTTTTGCGATATGCCCCGAGAGCTTGGACCGGGTTCCAAGCGCCTGCCAGTCTTTCGAGTAGAAAATGACCTCGCGAGGGGCGATTAACTCCTGTAACGTCCAGCCACGATTCACCCAGCGGGTGTTGGTCAAGTCAAACTCGGAGTCGGTGTTGGAAACGTCGTAGAGAAAAGCATAGCAAATGGCGGCACTCTTATACCATTGAAACATGGAGTTTATTGCTTCAGAGAGCTCAGCGCTACTGGATTTGTCGATGCAGCAACTTGATGGTAAAGGGTTAGCGGCTGACGGGCCTGGCCCCCATTTCATCCTCGGACGGCTCACGTGTCAATCCAAACCCATTCAAGACCATCGTCGGCAGCCTGCTTGCAGCAGAAGTCGATCTTCCTGAATCCTTCCTTCTTCTCAATGTCCCTCATAGGCTCGTACTGCCATTCGCGAAACGATACTTCTTCGTCGCCCCAAGTATGAGAGAGGATGGCGTAAGGCGGGGCTTGCTTGTGTGAGATGAACTCCCTCATCTCCCACGTGCAAGAGTTGAGCAGCCACATATTGTATCGAATTGATGAGATGTCCGCGCGTATAAGTGTAATCTATCTGCTTGCACGGTAGCTCATGACCGTGAGTGATAAGGCGGGAAAAGGGCTGTTTATAACGAGCCTCGACTGGAAGAGACGCCCATTGCAGCTCTCACCTCCATAGTAAACGCCACTCGTGGGGGCCGTATTGCGGCTTCATCCTTCGGATCCTGATCAGGGGCCTATTATACATCCATGAGCACACACTTAATGCGGAGAGACTTAAGCGAGCGAATGCCAAGGCGCAATATGCCCAGGCGATCAACCTAGGTCTTACATCCTAATACCAAATGGGTTAACGCAGTGTGAATGGCAGTCCAAGTTTGGAGGTTAGCCCATGCGTTTTTCTACATTTCATAGCCATGTTTTGCGACGAACAGTTGCTCTTTTCAAAGCGATCAAGTGATGTATTAAAGTAAATGATTGTAGTCAGCTGTATATCACATATCGTTGTACCCAACGATATATAGGGTATTTTACACTTGTAAATGTAATACTTAGTATAGTCAGCTTCAGCTGGGGCTGGGCTTGACGACCAAAGTGAGCACGTTACCTATATGTACTTAGTGTTATTGAATGAGTTATTATGTCTTAGCTCTATTGTGCGAAGGTGGTAGACTATCACACCCAAAATCCGACCGCTTATGGTATCCCGAAATGTAGAAATCGAGCCATAGTAGAAAACTCACTCTCAATTACATACTTAAACAAGCTAAGTTGAACCGATCCTCTTACTAACTTCATGATGCAAGAAATGACAACGTTAGAGTACCGCAGTGATCTTCATTTCGTCTTACATAGTCACTGCCATTAAAACTTTCCCAAATTCGAGGATTCCCGGAACTCGACGATCTTGCGCTCACAGTCTTCTGTCTCCGTGATGATCATATATGCTGCGTCCGTAACGTTGAGGAGTGGCCCGCCCACACCGCCAATATGGCCACCCTGCCAACCTGTGACAGTAACAAACCCACCGTTGTCAGAGCCATTGGGAACACCGACAGCGCTCAGAAAGCCGTGTTCGAAGGTGCCGGCAAAGCCGCCATTTAAAAGCGGGTAGAAACTCTCATACGCCGCTTTGAATGTGTCGAATGTGAAGACTGTAGCGTTGAAAGTCGCATAAACATCCGGGCTAAACGCGATATCGTACGCGTCCTGCCAGCCGTCTTGAAAGGGAAAGAAGGCGTTAATGGATTCTTGCGCCCACTGTGCTAGATCTTCGCCAGCCCTGATGCCATCCTCAATACGAGGCGGACAAGCGGCTGATGTTAGGCATGCGCCAGCAACCGTAAGGCCTATTCAGAGCAAATCAGTATTCGATCTCGAAAAGGGGCAAATCTTCAAGCTCAGTATTAGCCCTTAAATCAGCTCACCTAGGAACTGGGATAACTGCATTGCAAGTGCGTGGAATGGTTGAAAAGAATTGATTCGCACCAACAACAATAAATTTCCCCTGTCGCCTCTAATCCTATATAAATACCATGATACCCTCGGGCTCGCCGGTCGTCTCAAATGAATGACCCAAGCTAATCTCGAATTAGGTCGAAAAGTGGCTTAGTCCAGGCTCCGTCTAATCCGTAACTGTGATCTAGGATCAAATCAATGTATAAATGACGAAAGCACCTGTTTGCACGATATTCTGACACCATGATAACCATTTATCCAGTGAGGAGACAGACACAGCCCCATAATAGCTCTCTGAGGGCAAGGAAGTGTAGATGGGCTAGGGCGGCTCATCTATTCGGACATTAGGGACGGATACCCCGGCGTTCAGCCTAGCTTCAGTCAAGGATCTATAGAGAATAGCTCACATCATTCCTATTTAATAAGTATACCATAAACCTATCACAAAGCAGTGAGCCTACCTTATTCAAGTTTAGAAAAATCTAACACTTTATAGATTTTAGTTATATAGAAATACGTAACTTTAAAGAGAATTTTCCGGTAGCAAAGGAATCCTTCCCTAATCTTTACTTTAGTTTCTATTTAGTATAGCCTGGGATAATGGCTACCCAGGCTGCTAAAAGGGCTTACATGTAATTTGATGCCTGGGATCACGAGTCTCAGTGCCCGAATAAGTGACGCGGAGCTAATGGCCGATGTGGTAGAAATTCTACTCCTATCAAGAGCTCATAGTTCAGACGCCTGAGTTGTCATCCATAATCTTATTAGGAGGGCCGGGACCAGGTTTTGGAATCGACTCTATCCGCAATATCAACCCGTTACGGCTGGTAAATTCAACTCAGCCAATTTGAACCTACACTTTATATTGTCACTTAAATCGTATCAACAAAGCTTAAAACTACTATCTCTACTCGTAAATTAGCAGCAGGCGAGTCTTCATTGCATACTCGGATTATCCCGCCTGCTTCTCTTCCTTCAAATATTTGTAACGCCTCCTAAACCCCAACATGTTACACGTGTAACCTCTGTACCGGTTGAAGAATGCAGTTCGCCTTGCACTTCGGCCGTACGAAGGACTATTGCAGGCTGTTCATGACCTTCCAAGACATGCAGGCAATATTGGGCGATATTGGGCGATATTGGAAAGTGAGGTTATACAGACTTCGCTTCTTGAAACAGACCCTAGAGACCCAGGCGGTCTGGGCTGGCAGATCATTTGTATATAGAGTCATCTCAAGCCACCAACAGCCGAGAAGGAGTTGGTTGGTCAAGGACTACTGCAGCCCTAGTTGATCATTGTAATCAGAATCCTCAGTTCCAAGCCCAGTTCAACTGCCCTTGTTATACAACAAGCCTTACTTCTGGAAAGTTTTGGGGTTTATATACCCTACAGATTGCCTATGGAGGGTAGACTTCACTCAAGGATTCACTTATGAGCTTACATATTACAAGGGTTGACAATTTGGGGCCTATATTGAAACTATACGCACTCATTTATGACGGCCGCAAATGTCCACGAATTCCTCCACTCGGACCTCTTCCTGGCCTTGCCAATCGCCGACGTCTATCATATATCTTAAGTTGGCCGGGATCAAATGGCTTCACTTTGATTAAGACCTATATGTCCTGTTTCTATTGGTAGTCGGGCCGTAGGAAGGTGGCCAGCGGGCTCATCGCGTGTAAAAGATGTCTCCTCGAAAGGTTAGCGCGAATTGAAACCGATAAAGAAGCGGACCGCAACTTACCTCGAATAGACTAGTGATCTTGGGAGTTGGAGCAGCAATTGCCTCGAAGTTGGTATATGTATCGTTGGCTATATGAGGGGGAGGTAGGTGTACCCTTAACGGTCCTGAGGTAGTCGTCGTATATCCAAATGGAGTTGAAGTTGAACTTGAACTTGTGATCGGTTGTGTATGTGCACCTGGACACCAGCCCCAATTCGGGTCGGCTCTAATGTATAAAATAAATCAGCGCTACTGATGATGTATCGATTCTAAGAGATGAATCCTTACATGTAATGAAAATGGAAATAACCCTCCTTTCCACCATAAGCGCATTTATTGACTATTCTCTGGAAAGAATAAATGCATTGGTCAAGTAGCAAAATACTATCCATATACAGCCGGTTCTGTAATCGAATGTCATTAGAATTTGGTGGAGGACAGATGGAGCAGAGGTAATACCTTGACTTCAAAATCCCACTTGAAATGCTCCCTGACTTGAAAACAAGAATGTCTTTTCTCACGTTTGAAATAAGAGCCAAGAAGGTCCATGCAAGAAATTCTTATGCCGTCCGTTTGGTCGAGTGAAAGGCCATGTTCGCCCCAGCGACCACTGTGGTAGCACCGTAACCAACTTATGACATTACCAGTTGCCAGTGGCAACTGTGCAGCCAGAAGGAAGAGTACTGCAATAATCGAACGCATAGCGAGGACCAGACCGTTATAGAACTGGTAGAGACTGTGATATTGGAATCTCCCGGCTTTCGTAAATTGAGGAAAAATCGAAACATGAAACTATGAACGGACCTACCCACTCTCTTATTGTAATCACGTAAAGCCTAATGGCAGCATAACCAAGGCTACCTGCAAACCTAATCATGTCCTTCTGATTAGGCTTGCGAACTCTTATTGGAACTTGGAAAATGAGGTAAAAGAAAATTGTTTGAAATCGGTTAGAATACCGCTAGGATTTCAAAAGGTGCTTCATATATGGGTAGTATACATATAATTTAAGGCTTCAAGATATAGCAGAGCCCCTGAACGTCTAGTCATGGGTAAAAATTTTCGAAAGGAAATTCTGTAGTATGTTACGGCCTTGCGGTTGCCTTGGAAGCTGAAACTTGGCGAGAATTTAACCTTTCTTAGCCTCACATGCGTTTACGATACTATTCGTAAGGATACCTTTGATATAGGCACCCCAAACAAGGTGTACGCGTAAAGAAACCTGGCCCAGAGGCGCATCTATTGGGTTTCCATGCAGCGCAGCGAACCTTCAGCACTATATCTGCATGTCTAGGTTTCGGGTTGGTATCCCGGGTATAGAATACTGAGTAAGATGGATAGTAGAACGCTGATGGCATGAAACGGTCCCAAGACTCACGAGTCACACGGAACAAAAGCTAAAGGCACCAGCGCACGATTAAATTGGTTCCCGGGATTTGATTACGTATCCCAATGGGCTGAATCTGGCTAATTCTCACTTCGATGGTCGTCATATACATTGAGATGCTCTACAACAACTCAGTTTGAAGTACAACTATAGATGGATACAACATTGTAATTTGTATCCCTCTCAGTTATAATGAAGTGAAATGTTAACGAAATTTCTCAACATCCCATCAATTCATCAATCTATTTCTCACGTGAGATTGATGTCCGGTTGTACAGCAATACCATATCCAATACGGTGCATTTTCCTGTTTTCCTGTTTGCTAAGTGAAAGTATATTAATTAGTACAACAATGGTGCTGTGCGATTCCATCAGCTTATTTGACGCAAGGGCTTTTATTGGCAAACTGAGTGTCTCCCTGTCGGCAAGGCACCATATGAGTTTACTCCCTTTTCTCCAATAGCCAAAGTCGTGACACCACGAAAATGTTATGTCTCACCCGCATCCCTTTTGTCTCCAAATACTTGCAGCTGGGGGATTTCTTATGGTATTTCCTCCGATGGTATCACGTATCATCAATACCATTCTGCGGTTCCCCGTGTACTGAAGCAATAAACCCTGGACGTCCATCGGTCATTTGACGCATCTCCAAATGTTGTGATGGCCTGGATCGCGGGATGATTGGACAGATCAAACAGCCAAGTGGCTACCTGCGATCTTATCGTCTTCGCGTAGAACTGACCCGCCTATAATATTCGACGGCTCTCACAAACCCCGCCTGAAGCACCTGAATTTGTTATCATTTAAGATGTCGACCGAGAGTACCCCAATTGCTCTGTGTAGGCAGGCTGAGACCTTCTTTAGTATAAATGTTTCCGCAAATCCTACAATCCCAAGTTCTTGTCGAAGGGCCTGCGATGATAGGTTCTTTCGAACAAGAATCAGGGTCGAATGGTTTGGAAATAGGCAGGGAACCCGTGACACCCGAGCTTGGCAAACAAGACCCAAATAGGGGTCGTTTTGGCCTCCCGACTCCGTAAGCAATCCCTTGGATACTATGTTTACATAATGGACTTTGAACCAGCAAGCTCCTTTTCGGTCCTAGATTACCGTTCAAAAGCTTCACCGCATTGAACATACTTACATATCGCGCCAGAGATGTTGATCACTAATGATGTGTTTTGTAGGGATACTACACCAGAATCTCGAAGAATAGCATCTGGACACCATCAACAAGGTTTCGCCCGTCCTGTCAACCAAAGGGATACCGCTCCTGATACACCACCAACTTCATCAAGGGCCCCTTCGACCGAAGAGATCACGACTCTTAGAAACAACTCGCAGGAATCTATTCATAACGAGACCACAGACCAACCATCTGAACGACCTAATTTGCTATCAGCACCGGAGCCGCATATAAACCAAGACAATAAACATTCGGTATCTGTTATAAAATTGGTGTTCAACTCGCTCATCAGCGTACTCAATCTGGCAAAGCAACGCAAGTCCCGGGCAGATGATGCCCGGGTGCAGAGAATGATCACTGGTAAGTGCTAGCCAGCGGCGTGTAGCAACCAATTCAAATCCGAGACTACCTCCTTTCCGGCACTTTTGGTACTTTGAGATCACGGTCAAGGTAAAAACTACTGACGATAGATATCGCAGTGATCAAAGACGTGCCGAAGACAAAACGTACGCGAGTTGTGAATTTGACGAACAAACTTACTGCTAAGCAGTACGGGCAACTTCTTAAAGCCATAAAGGACTCTAAAGATGACGAGTTTCGGTTCTACTGCGAAGAAAAGCTCCGGTGAGACACGTGAAAGTGCTCCTACATGTGAAATGCTGATTGATATGGCAGATATGATTATACGCGGCATAGAAAGGAATTCGAAATCCGAATGCCTACTACTATGCATGAAGAGTTGGGGGACTTTATTATGGATCAAGTATCAGTATGGAGGCAAAATCTCAGATCATCAAGTGATCCGGAAGTCGTCAAAGCAGCAAATTCTATCAAATCATCAGGCAGTGCAGATATAAATTTCCCCTTTGCCAAGGGAGAAGGCGACAAAAGATCGCCAGACAAATCTTTCAGGCATAAGAATTGTGAATGCAAACCTCGATGTGTCCATCCAACCTTGGTCGTCGAGATTGCATGGACCCAAGAGCAGAAATACTTGCAGAATAAAGCCGAGGCTTATATACGCCGTTCTCAGGGCCAAATCCGGACTGTTATTTCCGTGCTAATGCGCAAGATGTACCAGGCCGAGCTGAAGAATGAAAGCAGACTATTCAAAGCATACATGAAAGAAGAGACAGACGACAATGCGTCGTATTCAAGCGATGAGAAGAACGAGACGGGGGAAGCTTCCATTCTAGTATGGCGAGCTGTCACGCGTCGAAATGGCACAATAGACGCCGTTTGCGTGCAGGATGAGGTAAGAACTTACAACAATTCCATTCACGACTTCAACGCTAATTCAGTTGTCAGAAATTCCGAGACGAGGCAGGCAGACCAATACCAGGGGTTTCTCTACGCCTTCCACTTCGAGATTTCATCTGCAAGGGCAATATGGACTCTTTATCAGGAGATCTCGCAGAAGAACTCGAGATATCGTCCGAAGCTCTCTGCGAGTCCATCGACGACACTCTGAAGGACTACCGGAGAGAACGAGATGAGGTGAAGAAGGAAGAGGCAGAGGGAAAGAAGGAGATGCAAGCACAGGAGGCTGCGCAAAAGAGCTCGGGGAAAAAGAAAGAAACGAGAACGCGGGCTCTCGCTGGCCGCGTGTCTGATGATAAGGGGATCTTGGGTCGTATCAGCGAACAGGGCAGACTGGTGTCAACTAGATTTAAGAGGCAGGGGGTCGGAAGGTAGCGTGAGAGGAAACACATAAGAGCAAAAAGCTACTTGGATAACAGGATTATGGAGTGAGTCTCGTAGGCGTACTTAGTGGTTTGTTTCAATTGATCTCAGAAGACTTGGCTACTTCAGGAAACACTGGCTGCGACCAAAATGCCTGCCTCTGTACCTGCAGCCTCAAACCTTCCGTCTTATTCGTAGCACCTTAGCAAGCAGGTCTAGCATGATCTATGCATAAGTTTATTACAAATTCACATACGTAAGCCTATTCAAGATGTGGTTGGCGTGCCCAAAACCATCGGATATTTACATTCTTGAAGTGGTCGAGGCGAGATGGTGGCTTGTTCGGTAAGAGACAGGATCTATTGGCGACCGATCTCCATATTTTAGCTTTGGATAGCCCGGGGCACTATCTACAGAGATGCCGTCTGCGGCCCTCTCTAGATTTGGTTGATCAATACCTAAGTAGTAGATCAAGCGAGAGTACGGTGAGCAATAAGGGTTGCTCGCCAGAGTTCGTGTGCTGCATATAACAGCCTAGTTGCTAGATAATGCGGACTAATTTGCTGCCTTTATGCCCGAATGTAGAATGTGAAGGAGAGCCGTTAAGATAATCAGAGAGCCATCTTCTAACTGAAGAAATGTGGAAAATAAGATGTTAACGTTATAATAACGATGCTTGGATTATGCGTCTCGGCAAGGAACACATACCGGTATACTGCGCAGAGCACATGGTACGGGGTGGCATCTAACTTCCATTACCGTACGATTCACAATTCATCATTAGTCCTTAATCGAGCTTAATTGAGCTTTTATACAACGGCTGTATTCCTTTTCAAGATGCCATTCCTCTGATAGCTGCCATGTTATGTTGTTGCGCACAGATGCACCTTATTGTACTGCGTGGGGTATGTAAGCCCGCTCCATGCCGTTAAGGCCGGCGGACTAATAGACTGAGTATGGTAAAGTCTCGGAAGCGTCAAAGACAAAGACAAAGTCGAATGTTTCGTTTCGGACATTATCCGAGCAGGCTCTGCACGCTACGTAGGTATACGTGTAAAGTAAAATAAAGTACGGTAGGTACCTTATTATGCATTGCCTCAGAGCTTGCGCGTTGAGATCTTGGCATACGCAGTCGGCAGTGCCCCAGTCCCGCATTCCCTCGAGGCAGCAGAATTTCAGATACAAGCCACCTAAAGATAGCTGAATGAATGAATGAAGGAGCGAGCGTCTCATGTAAAGTTGAATTTAGATAGAAACAAGTTTTTATGTACTACCATTAGATAGGTATGTAGCTCATTCGGCAGTAGTAGATAAAACAGACGCCCTCAGAAACAACAACTTAAACAATGGGAACCGGGATAGCATCGGTTGCTAAATGTGCTAAATGGTGTTACCATAGATACAACCACAGCGGTGGCCAGTGATTGGCGACAGCCGCTAACCCCGCTAAACAAAGCCCTTGTCCGGGTTGCCCGGCACCCTGTCGAGCCCCTGCAGGCCCCCCTGTGGACCCCCCTGTCTCCAGCAGTCTCTAGCCGGCCCCTCCCCTGTCGAGACCTGTATCCTGCCCTGCCCTGTGTGCGCTAGACCAACCTCGTCAATTTCTTCGGACTCGTCGCAACCAGCCACTGCTTAATTCATTGCCAAGCCCCCAGAAACACGGGCTCCCAGCCCACTACCTAGCCCACTACCTAGCCCACTACCTAGCCCACTACCTAGCCCGCTACCTAACCCACTACTTAGGTAGGCGAGTAGCTACTGTACAGGCTACCTAAGCTGCACTAGATGCACTAGCTGCCCATTGGAACGCTTCCACATCCGCCCACGTCGTCATGAATTGCATGTGTCTGTGTCTGTGTCTGCCCATCACCATCACCTTGTCTTCTTCTCCCGTTTCCCATTGCATAGCCCTCGAGCTGTCTCATGTCTAGCTTGGGAACTATTCTATTTCGTGATTTCTTTTTCGTTTCTGCCTGACGGACTTGTATACTTCGTCTGTCCATTCGTTTTTCTATCTGGTATCCGGACGTTGGGTCAAGAACCCCCCCAGTTCATGTTAACAAAACACCTGCTACACAGCAACAACAACAACCACCACCCAGCACAATTCGATGCAATCGATCCTCTGACAGCTGCTATTTGCCATCTACTCTGCACATCGACTGCCCAATTCCTATTTGGGGATACTAGGGGACCCTAGGGGACATCAATGCGAAGTTGAAAACCACCGCAACGTTGGGTAGTTGAAGCACCGAGCACCATGGCGGCTAAGTCCAAAGTCAACATGAATGCCATGCACACGGCAGGCATCTTCTCCGACATGAGCATTGATGGTCCCGAGATCGGCACACTCGTTCTCATAGTCGACCGGGCCAAAAACCTGCCCAATCGGAAGACAATTGGAAAACAAGACCCCTACTGCGCTGCTCGCCTGGGCAAAGAGGCCAAGAAGACGGCGACCGACATTCGAGGGGGTCAGACACCCAAATGGTAAGCCTGTTGCGACCCGTCATAAAGCGCATCGAAGAGCGCACATTGCGAGTGGCCGACGTACTGAATCAATGAATGACTGAGTGACTGAGTGACTGAGTGACTGACTGCTGCTTATTTAGGGACCAAGAACTTCGGTTTACCGTCCACGACTCCCCGGATTATTTTCAACTCAAACTATCCGTCTTTAATGACGATAAGAAAACGGAATTGATTGGCGAAACATGGATCGACTTGCGCGATATTGTCGTGCAAGGCGGAGGACAAAGCGATCAATGGCATAACTTGAACTGCAAGGGGAAATACGCTGGTAGCATCAGAATCGAAACCACATACTACGATAGCCGACCCAAACCAGAGAAGCCACCTGCCAAACCAAAACCCTTGGCTTCAAGCTCCGAGCCAGATCTTGCCGGTTCATCTCAGAGATCCGCCGTCAAAAGGCGCCCTCTGCCATCTGATCCGGTCACTGGACTAGCTCCTTCACAACCATCTGAGCCAATCCATACACCTCCAAGAGTACAGCCGAATCCTCCAAGTGGACTGATCACGGCTCACCCTACATCACACATTGTCGAATATAGCACACCACCTCAAAATCGACAGCCGCCTCCTGAAAACTATCCTCAAAGCCATAGCCCGGGATCTCAGCATCCTGCTCCACCTTCACATCGAGATTACCAGCTCCAAAGAGGTGCCGAGAGAACCGAGAGTTTCCACACTCCGCAACACGAGCCTGATCCGTTCTATCAACCGAGCCCAACTCACCCTTGGCCTCATGAAGTGGACAGTAGACCAGTATATAACAATTCGCACCCAGGTTATGGCAGCCAACCGCAAACTATTCAGCCACGTCGCTCTGTCGATGGTGAGCGGCCACCCCCACCTCCTGCGCATAGAGCAAGGCACTCTAGCGGACATTCATCAGACGCAAACCCGATGCATCGTACTAGTTACGAATTGGTTCCGCATAAGGCTACACCTCCTATGCGACATGATGTGCTTCGGCAAGAGGCACATCGGTATTCAGTTCCTTCAGCTTCTCCATCGGCCTACCCGGGGCGACCAACCTATAAACCTAGCGAGTCCGCCCCTAACCTACAAAACAGCTCGCCGTCAGACGAATTTGCCTCGAATCCGGCTTCAGCACCACGGCATCACTCTTTTGATTCGGGATACGATACGCAGCGTCGTCCCATGCAACCCACAGTAGAAGATGTACCCGAATCATGGACGCCGCCTCAACCCAGGTCCCGTAACAGTATCTCAGCATATGATGAGCCAGAGTATGACCCTGTACCTAATCCAGCGCCACTGAATCTCCATGGACATGGTAGTATCTCTTATGAACAGCAGAGCCCTAGTCAGCTACAATCTCAGGCACATTATGACGGCTATGGGAACAGCACTTCCCCATCACCGGCACCTGCGGCCGATTACTCACAGGCATTGACACACGTTCCACGGTCGCAGACATACCAGCTCGATCATTATCCGATGGATCATCAACAAATGAATCAGAAAACAAATCATTATCAAATGCAACATAATGGGATGAGTAACCAGGTTGCTGGTGCAATTGAATATAGTCCTTCAGCAGTTCCTCCGACTCTTGTTCCTGGTATTGATCCCAATTATGCATCTGAGGTATCAGAACGGCATCATCAAGACAGGCAACAAGAACGTCGATATACTCAACCTACACAAATGGTTGTTGTGCACCCGAGGGGTAGACAACATAGTGAACCCCCCTCGCACTATGCCGCTAACTATGCACCGCATGGCCACCCAACCACCTCAAGATCTTATGAAAGGGCGCCGGTTGCATATTCGAGTGGGCCCAACACACCTTCTGCCGCAAACGAAAGTTCGGATCTTCGTAGAGTTTCCCCAAGCCCCAGTGGGCATCATGTGATTAAACGCAAGTCTGTTAGCCCTGCACCCCCGCCATCTGAACCTCGGAGATCGTCTGGTGTGCCATTCGGGCCTGATTCTTACGATGCTTTCAATCCGTCCGTTTCTGCCTCGAGGGAAGATCTTAGTTCTGGAAATTATACCAACGCGGATGGGAAGATTGTTACACCGGATGGGCGAGAAGTTGATCCTTCGGATCACTTGCCAATGGATACTTGGGCTCCAGAACCAGAGCCAAAGAACACTGTCCCGCCAACTGAAACAGCACGGACAAGACCCCCCCTTAACGGTGCACAGCCCATGCCATCATCCGGGCGCCGGCCACTTCGAGTAGCAGCGCGTCCACAATCAATGGCATTAACACCCCCCGCGCATGCTACGCAGGAGCCCACTGGTCCGAGAAGCGCAGGTCGCAATCGTCTCCAGAAGAAAAACCATCGGGCCTCCGCCTTGCCGGCCCCCTTATCTGCCAACTCGAGCTCGCTCGGCCCAGCTACGGCGCACCAGCGTAATAGCACACCGCCGCGCGCTCTGGTTCGAGCGAGTACGTTTGACTATGAGAATCATGGGCCGCCTTTCAACAATGATTATGGTATTGCTCGCACGGGATATGGTTCTGGACCCCCTATCCCCGCTAAGGTTCCCATGATGAGTGGTGGTTTGGGGCCATCGACGTCCATGCCTCCAGGAGGTGAAGAGCTATCACTTATGGAGGAGATGAGTAGAATTGATATCGGCACTGGAAGGGCCAGGCGTCACGGTGGGTATTAACCTGACGCACAGCTCCCTGAGCGGCAAACTTGTTGAAGTATATCACACAAGAGTTAAGTGAACTTGTGCGTCTATGAGGCAGAAGATGATAAATGTTGTATGATAACTAATGTTTAAAACTTGAAATCGGGCTTGAGGGGGCAGAGTTTCGCGGAGCTATAGTTTCTTTCTCATGCTCACTCTTCGACTGCTTTTTATGGTGTTTTAGGCGGCATGGTATTATACACAAACGGAGCCAATGTGGTATAGAGGTGGAACAAGATGCGGGAACAACGAGGAAACTGGATGCCAATTTCTTTTTTCAGCGGAGAGGAAAGCAGCAGTATGTCCTGCGTCCGAACATACTCCCCGCTATTTTCACGAGATAGGACGAGTGGGTTTACAGGATATCTCTCAGATGTCTCTTTTGAACAACCTACCTATCCGTTCAGAAATATAAAGAAGTCAAACAAATACGTTACCTATAAATGACTATGTGGTCACTTCGAACTACGGGTATCAGCGCTCCCATGCTGCTCGTCAAGTGTTAGGTAGGATTAGCAATTCTGAGTATGCTGTAGGAAGACACGCAAGGATGCCACTATAGGCACTTGATCGTTAGGGCGAAGTCCGGGTAATGAGCATGCGCCACGGGATTTAAGAGAGGCCAAGGCGAACATAGCATCTTGGCTATCTAAGAGTCTTTCTCTACACTAGAAGCGATCAAGACACTTTCATCTCATGGGTTGATTGGTAATGAGATGGTCCAGGTGATGACTAATCTACGTTACGGTTCAATGCAACCGTCAGCCTCTAATTATATAAATAGAACCGAATGGGAACATGTTCTTCTAAGAACCTCTTATGACCGTGTAGGCTGACACTTGGGGTGGCGATCGCGCCCGCATTGTGCATCGCATAGTGTGATCTAACTACCTAGGGCTTGCATGAAACTAGAAGCGAGACGCTTTTTCGTCGTATGAGAACAGGCATGCCTATAGGAAAAGGGTTCGTTTTGCTTGATAGACTGGCTTGCTGTGAACTTCAGTCCTTCACTCCTTTAGTTATTTCTTATGACTCACATATTATGAATTTGATCAGCAGTGAATCATGAGACGCATCGCAGGACATGGTGCTTTTCAGATCGAATTTGCTGTTAAACCCGGAACAGCATGGGCTGTTGGGGGCCAAAATCTTACATGGGCTATAATCGCCTTCATACCTGCCCAGGTAGACAGGGGAAGAGTCCCCACGGCGGCGAAGGAGTCTTATACTACAAAAAGGCCTACGCGTGCTCCCGTCTCAAGTAACGCTTTTTACCATGCCGTGCTTTTGAAATTGATTTCATTGTTATTTTGATCATGGACGGCGAAGAAGACGATCTAGGCCCCTTTTGGGCCGAGGCCAAGCGGGCCTACGAGCAAGAATGCGAACACCCTCTCGATTTTGATGTTGATGATACTCGGGAACCCTATACTGTTGGCCATTTGTTGGAATTGATCGAGTCGCGAGGGTCGCAATTTGGCGCGTTTCGCGAGAAACACAGCCGGTTATGGAACAAGCTTGAACGGTTCTGCGAGCCGGTCGTAGCCCTGGGAGGGGTCACGGGGGAAGTCTTCAATGCCCTTGATGGCATCGGGGGACCAATTGGAGCCGTTCTGAAGGGAATTACGCACCTTGTCTCTGTACGTATAACATCTCAAACAACCGTCATGCTATTTCTTCTCTTGAATTCAAGTCTTCGTAAAATTAGTTGAGCAAGGGCTAAGAATTCGGCTCGTGGATTTTGCTAGGCGGCCGAACATGTGACGAGCGCGTATGATTGGGTCGAAACCGTTTTCTCGGAACTACAGAATTTCTCGGACCGGCTGAGAAGTCACACGAGAACTACCATCACTAGTGCGATGCGTCGGATCATCATTGCTATACTGGCGTTGTAAGCACTCCTCGAGATGTGATTTGTCAATAGAGATGTGCTGCTAATACATTTTCTAAGCATCCTCCGCATTATTGGGAGATCAGAACTACTCATTAAACGGGGCAGAGTCCGTAAGAATACGCCTCTCATCTCCTATGGATGGTTATCGTAACTCACGAGGGATCTAGGCGAATATCTGCGAGTTGCCTTTATCGGCAAAGACCAGAAAACGAAAGAACTGCTCGACGAGCTCAACAAGGTCATCGCGAACGAGGGTCGCTTGACGCTCGCATTGACACATGAGAAGACAGAGCAAGCCCGTGATTTAGCTGCGCAGTCCGTCGAGATTGGACAACAAGCTAGCGAGAAGATAGACGATGTGCACAACGACGTGAAGGCGCTCGAAGGTCTAACTAGGGAGTTGAAAGTCCAACAAATCGACCAACACCTGCTCGAGAACATGCATCACGTTCTCAAGACGACAGCCGTTACACAAACAGACGATTGGTATTCACTATTCAAGAGAAACCTCCTCGAGGGCAGCGGCGCTTGGTTACAAAAAGAAGAGCTCTTTGACGTATGGATGCAGCATCAGGCGCCGATACTCTGGGTCTTCGGGGGTCCTGGAGCTGGGAAAACGATGCTGTCGACATGGCTCATCACGATGCTCAATAAGCAGTTCGAAGCGAAATCGGAGATGAGCCTAGCCACGCACGTCGGATATTTCTTCATCAAGGAGAACGTGGATAATCTTCGGAATCCCAATATCCTCTTCAAGACAATGGCATGGCAGATACAGCAGACCGACCCGCTGTTCCGGAGACACGCTGCGACAGTATGCGGATTCAATCGCAAAACCGCCGGCGCCGAGGATACGTGGGAGAATTTGTTTCTGGACTTCTACCAGGGGTTTCAGGGACAGGATCGGCGGGCGGTTCTGATCATCGACGGACTGGATGAAGCGGAGCTACATACGCAGAGGAGGATATTGCGCTTGATGAAGGACTATGTCTCTAGTATCCGAGCCGGCCAACCCGCAAGGGTCCAATTCGCAATCTTCGGACGTTTAACTTTGCGACCTGAGCTGGAGAGAATCCAGCTCGATAGGGAGGAAAAGATAATCGAGGTATCTTCAGTCAAGAATCATGAAGACATGGAGAACTACATTACCAACCGAGTGAAGAATCTCACGATCGTACGCCTGATGAGAAGTAAGAAGCCAGATGGCAAAGAAGCCAAGAGGTTCGCTCGCGGCGTGCGTCAGAAGGTGTTGGAAGGCGCGGCTGGTGTCTTCCTTTGGGTACGTCCACACATCGATCTTATCATCACAGCTTTAGGGGGTCACGATAATCTCGGGAACTAATACTCTGGACTTCAGGCGCAACTCCTATTAGACCAAATGGAAGGTAAAGATGACCGGCAGATCAACCAAGTCCTCGCAAACCCTCCTGAGAATCTATATGATATGATATACTCGGTCTTCAAGCGAATATCGCAAGATGAGGAGGTAGACAAGCCGACAGTGAACCGTCTCCTGGCTTGGGTAGCATTTGCAAAACGTCCTTTAAGCTTCGGAGAACTAGATGTCATACTCAGAACCGATTTCGCCGCGACGAACTGGTTTCTTTGGAACCATTTGCGCGGGAAGTTTGCGTCTACTTTTCGGTTGCGGTATCCTAGAGGCTATGACCCAGATGCCAGACAAGAGGACAATGCCAATGAAACAGTAGAAGACGGCCAACAGGACGAGCCTGACGTCCAGGATCCCACTGACGATGATGCTAGCTTCAATCTTGATGATTCAAGCGATGACGACGACGATGACGAATATGCGGGGACTCCAGAAGAGGACGAGACGAGTGATGCAGGACAAGAGGAGCCGGATCATGAAAATAAGCAATCGGAAGCAGATCAGCATTACTCGTGGTCACAGAAACATACCATAGTGGACTTTAGTCATCAGCGGTTCCGAGATTTTCTCGTCATCGAGAGTGATCCTCTAACCAGGCAGAAGCCATGTCTGCCAGTCCGGATAGATGTTCATAGTGTCGAGCTTGACATAGTATTCGACTGCTTCCGGTGTCTCCGCGCAGGTCTCGCCAGGGGTATGAAATCCTATAAGTCTGCAACATCTGGAGAGAGAAAACTCCCGACTAACTACTTCATCTATACAGGGAACTACGTCAAGTACTACATTTCATATCCCGCATTCAACGTCTTCTCACATCTGGCCTCTCTCAAGCAAGATCATCTAGATGACGACACACAGACGCGTATTCTGCGAGAACTATACTGGTTGATTCGTAAGTCCTGCAAAAATCCACACACACGCAATACCTTCATTCTAAGCAAGACGCAGACGAAGAAAGGGGATGTCGGACGTTATTCGCGGCTTTAATAGACCGGGAGGACGGCGAATGCGACGCGTTCTGGCAAGTCTGGCTAGCCGATAACAGGACGACATCGCTGCTTCAACGCTGGTTTTCCAAAGCAGCAACGCTAGAATCTCTCTCCGAAGACGAGAAGTCATGGATGGCGGACGCAGCAACTTCTGTGCTGAAACTTCTGGAACCCTTGGCCATGACGGCGGCCAAGATCTGGCTGACGAAGGAGAGCTACAAGGACGACGCGTACCTAGATAAATCGGAATTCCAAGTCTGGTTCCTGAAGGGATATAGGGCGCTGGATGAGTTTGGACATCTGCCCGATAATCTAGCGCACTGGATCTATGCACGGGATCTAGACTTCTCTACTATGTCGGCGAGTGAAGTCGAGGACCTGGCTGAATGGGCGGGTCTGGAGAAAACCACGCATTGGTATACTGGCGTCGGGTGGACTTTGTATCAGCTCCCCAGTGAAAATAGTGCGCGGGCCCAGGAGTTTCTGGCGAAGGCCATCGAGATGGTAATGAATTATCCATGCACACGCCATCTGTCCTGCAAAGTATGGAGATACTGACCAAGTAATGTGCAATCGCAGGACTCTAGTGCCTGGGTCGCCATGGAAGCCATGGCTCGCTCTCTAGGCGACGACGACGAAGAATACGAGAAGGCCATTTCCTGGATGGAGCGTGCCGTCGAGACGCTCCTCGAACACAACAAGGATACGAACCTCGAGGTCGACGGATATCTTCGAACGCACATATCGAAGTGGAAGATGGAGCTAGGAGCCGTCGATGAAGCGCTCGACACAGCTTACAAGTAAGGAATAATAAGCCGATTCACTCTGTAACTTCGTTTACGCCCAGGGTGCTTTAAAACTAACTGACATTGTCAGCGCATGGATACAATTTCCGACAAGCATGCCAATAACCAAGCAATACGTGCGGGCCCTCCTGCAAATCAAGGACTGGGCCCGTCTGATCGAGATCCTGTCGTGGCTCGACAGCTTCGACAACGACTACGGCGTGTCGCATCTCGTCAAGTTTTTCAGCGAGCTGTCCCTCGCCTGGGACGTCGGCCCCGCCTTCCGCGCCGCTGATCAGCCCGCCTTCGTCATCAAAGCGCTCGAGCTCGCGCTGCGCGACGTAGAGAAGACCGGGGACAAGGGTTTTCTCATCAGCAAGCTGCTCAACTTTGGCGACTTCTACCACGACTACTACGACCGCGATGACCGGACGATCCACTGGTGGGAGGAGGCCATCGCGCGAGTCGCCGATGCCGACGCCGCCGTGCAGAGAGAATACGCCAACAGAAAGATTGTGTATACGAACCAGTTGGCTCAGCTGTACTTTGACGCGGCGGTTGATAATTTTGAAGGTAAGCCCCTCTCGACTGTTATGTGTGGATGTAGGGTGGGTGCGGGGGGAGGAGATCGTAGCAAAATATATTTTCAATTATCCCCCAAGAGCAAGCTGTAACTAATTCTTTGTCTGTTCCTTCCAACCAGCGCATGTCCGACCAAACGACGCAGCACTCAAATTGAAGCAACTCGCATTAGCCACAACATACGTGTCAGGCGGCGACGAGGACGTCTTTGCGTACTACACGCCGGGGTACCCGTCCCTGCTATACGGGCGGTGGCTGAGGGACTACGAAAAGGCAAAGCCATCCGTCTGGCGAGAGTGTTTCCGCGCGCGAATTCTAGAGCAGATGAATGGTCTAGACGACGATGACCCCACGAACGACACGATTGCTTGCAGGCGACTCGCAATGAGCTTGTTTCAGGCCGGTGACGTGAAGAGAGCCAGTGCCATCGTCGCCGTTTTGTTTAAGACGCTTGAGGAGTACATCTCTGGGAAAGAGCGAAACGAGCCTGAGGGTGGAGTCGTCGAGGAGGTCCACGAAGGAAGCTGTGAAGGCGGAGAGCCGGGAAATCTGGACGAGCTGACAGACCAGACAGTTATTAAAGCAATTGGAGAGAAGGAAACAGAAGCTGACGATAAAGATCTCGGTACACAGACTATTGTACCCGATCCTGAGATTCCTCCTCTGCACGAACATTCACAGGAAAATAGTGCTTTCGGACCAGAAGAAAATCTTTCAAGACGACCACAAGCAACGGGGAGCGAAGGCAAAGGGGAAGGAAATTCCAAGACCAATTCCCAGGGGAAGTTAGCGCTCCAGCTCGATTCGGACGCATGGGGCTACGTTTGTGATGGTTGCGGCTATGACGCGGAAGACAAGGGAAATATGTATGTATTTTCCTGTATAAATATTTTCAATTTCCCCGAACCATGACTACTAACTATATATCTACATCTAGGTGGTTCTGCGACATCTGCTACGATATCGCGTTCTGCAATGACTGTCTAGAGAAAGCCAAGGTCGTAACGCTTGAAGTACGACGTTGCAATCCGAAGCATACCTGGCATCAAGTTTGGCCCTTGGACGAGGAAAAGGTCCGTGAAATGGCGGAGGAATACGGTATGGGGGGAAAAGTTCAGTTGAAGAAGGAGTGGTTGCAGGAGCTGCGGAATGAATGGCTTAGGGGGCCTGGTAGTAGTTGAGGTCCCTTCACGCAGATCCCGTGTGCTGGCCGTGGCAACAAAATTCACACCAATTAACCTGATCGCGGGTCAGTTACAAGTCTGGGGTGGTACATTTCATGACCGTGGTCTTACTTATCGTCGCCCGGGCGTTTATGATTATCATCGTCATCATCGTCATCTGAGGCGTCTTCACCAGCGACATCATCCCCAGCTGGACTTCGGCTCAAAGATGACGGGCGTGCTTTTCCCGTGCTGTTCGCGCCGGTAGCGTCGTTATGTCGCATATGAGGGGCATTCATTTGGACGCCCTTTTCAACTACTTTTGGTTGCATCCTCCAAGAAGAACTAGGAATCGTATTAGTAATCTTATACCAATATGCGCTAGGAGAAGGATCTGACTCACGTAGTTGCCACTCAGCTTCTGTTCCTGGTCCAACTGAGAATCTAACTTGTTGATTCGGGGACGGTAATTTTGGGTATCACGCTGCGGATTTCCAAGTCAGCGCCTGGGCATTCTGTGCCGTCTATGCTATCTGCGACGGAAAAATCTTCAATGATATAGTAAGAAGGGAAATATAACATACGCGGAATGTCACATCTAAGGCTTTGAGGAACTTGTTGCATCCAGTGAGGAGAGACTCAGCCTTGTTAGCATGGGCTTTGATACCCGGCTGTCCATCGAAGACGATGACTCGGTCAGCGAGGTAAGTGGACATCAGGAAATCGTGCTCGACAACGAAAGCTGTCTTCTTAGAGTTCATAATCCAACGCTTGATAACTTTGGAGGCCACAATACGCTGCTCCGAGTCAAGGTACCTGTCGCATGAGGTGTCAGCAATGGCCTTCAAGTATGATTTTCCAATAAGAGGATGTAGGAGACAATGGAAAGCCGGTATAGCACAGGATCAGGTGACGGCGGGGACTCACGCGCTCGGCTCATCGATAATATAGACATCAGCAGGCTTGCCAAGAGCCAACACAATAGCCACTCGTTGAAGTTCTCCACCGGAGAGGAGTTTGACCTCTTGATCAATGAAGCTATCGAGCTGAAGAGGCTTCACAACTTCTGTTTGGAATTGCGGAAGGAGGAAGGCAGTACGGATCTTCTTGAAGAAAAGTTGACGAACAGTACCCTCGAATCGAGGGTTGATTGTCTGTGGCTTCATGGAGATTGACATCTCGGGCCTAATGTCGTATCAGCAACCATATGACGGATCCGTATTGTTTTACTCACATCTTTGAAGCACCGTCTGGTTTAAGTACACCAGCTAGCATCTTACAGAAAGTAGTTTTTCCTGTACCATTCTCGCCAAACATGACTATGATCTCCGAGTCCGTAAAGTCACCAGCGTCGATTTTTAGCTGCCCGGTTCAGGTCTGTCAGCAGCATGGTCATTAGAAAGGGGGGGTAGACAAGAGCAGCTTACCTCGAAGTCGCCCATCTTCTTTTCCATTGAAGGGTACTTGAATGCTCGAGACTACAGATGGTCAGTCATAGATCGAATGCATGGACTAGGGGCAAATGGATTCACCTTTTCAGTTAGGAACTCGTCGGCGCTTTCTGCCATCTTGAATGTGAGAGATTCCTCTCGGAATCGAAGATTTTCAGTTGGAATATAGCCATCAAGGAAAATATTGATGCCTTCGCGAACTGAGTATGGGAGCGTCACAACACCATAGACACCCGGCTTGCCATAAAGAACGCACACGTAGTCACTAATATAGTCTAGGACACTCAAGTCGTGCTCAACAACAATAATATAGTTACTGTCTTTGCTCAGCGAGCGAATCGTGGCGGCAGCTTTAAGTCTTTGCTTGATATCAAGGAAGGAGCTAGGCTCGTCAAAGAGGTAGCTGGGAGTTCAATTAGCATCATCCATGGTGAGGAGCATGGAGGAAGGCATACATATCCTTTTGCTGGACGCAGACTAAGCCGAGGGCGAATCGCTGAAGCTCACCACCAGAGAGGTGAGTAACTTCACGGTCTTGGAGATGGTTTAGTTCCAAGACATTGAGAACAGTCTCCAAGTTCCCCATGCTAGCATCAGCCTGCTTGTTGAAGAGGGCACCCACGGATTCCTCTGGGCCTGGCATCGCCTTGGGAATCTGGTCTACGTATTGTGGTTTCACGACGGCTTGGAGGTCGTCCTCTAGGAGCTTCGTGAAATAAGTCTGCAGTTCGGAACCGCGGAAGTAGCGGATAACAGCTGCCCAATCCGGAGCGTCTTCATTCAGTCGTCCTAAGTTGGGCTTGAGCTTGCCGGCGAGGACTTTGAGCGCAGTGCTCTTGCCGATACCGTTGGTACCCACGAGACCAAGGACTTGACCCGGCCTGGGGGTGGGCAGACTATTGTGCGTCACTGTCAGACATTTCCTCGCCTTTGAGTAGATACAGATCAACTAACCGGTGAAGCTTGAAGGTATTAGGTCCATATCGGTGTGTGACCATAGAGTCTAAATTGGTCGGCAGATTGATGATGTTGATGGCCCCAAAAGGACATTTTTTAGGGCAAATACCACAACCAACGCACCTAATGGCATGGGCTTTAGTAATCTGTATACGATGTTCACAAGGAATAGATCGAGACTGGGGAGTCTGTAGTTGGCTCTCCATTAAATACATCTATCTAGAGCAATTTCAATGCATGGATCTACTTACAGTGACTCCGAGATGAAAGCAAGCTGGGAAGCTGGAGTGACCTCGATGCATAGCTTGCCACTGCGCACAACAGGACACGACTTACGGCATTCCTGTCTGCACTTCTTGGGCTTGCACTTGTCACTACTGACAATGGCGACACTATTCAATAGTTCAGCATCTAAGCGAGCACCTGTCGTCCATGTCCCACACATACCGGGTCAGTTTATCCGCCATGGTGAAGTTCACGAGGGGGCCCGAGAGCGTCGATCTATACGGTCAATGGCGGCTGAATCGAACTCGAATTGGGAGAGGCACACAGGCGACTCGGACAAGCTAGGAATTTAACAGTAGGGTCCAAAGAGGGAGCGGATAGTCGGAGTCGGCGTCGTCGTTGATGGTGTCGTCGTCGTCGATCAGAAAAAAAATAGCTGCGTACCCCGCGTCGGTTGTTCTGCATATTTTCTATGACCTAGTGTGCGCTGTGGAGACATTGGATGTGAAAGATTCCTTGCTAGGCTGTGGGCACGTGGTGGGGGTGGCTGGAATTGTGGCTGGTTTAGCCACTCAGGTGTGACTGATTACATACCGAACTATATCCCTGCCCAGTTAGGTAAGCAACTACGTCACTAGGTAGGGCGTTGTCTTGGTTAAACGTCCATCAAATGAGAACAATGAGACAATCACAGGAGTCATTTAAGAGTAACCATTTTATATAGTTTCAAAGGCAATAATGGTATTGAAGCGGCAATATCTCGCAGTTTACATCTATGAGACTTGTCTATCTAGAATACCAAATAAGCTAGCTTAGTTGTATCAATATGCTGTGTGAGCTGTGGGAGGACAGTGGTTAAAACTTGATCAGAATGCAGACAGGCTCGCTCCTTTGATATATCAATATTGTTCGCAGAGATGTTGTCTAGATGCCACTACCTCTTCATACACGCAACGCAACGCAAACTCTGTTCTCATGTGTCTATTCTGTCTGCTCATGTCCCCTAGCATGAGCTGGGCATCAAAGGACAAGAGAATTCGAGCTGCATGGTTGGGGAATAGAATGTAAGACAGCAAGGCGTATCAAACTTGTATGTGTCTAACTTATGCTATGACAATTAAGTAACCTAACGCTTCGCGCGCGCGCAATATCGGTGAAATGACAAAGCTAAAAATTAGCACTCAGATAGCGATATAGATATATGAGAAAAAAGCTCAGCTGCACTGATGCCGAGTAACAGCCTACTCCCATATGAACTGTTAACAGCTGCCAATGACAGAGTCACCCAGCCTGTCCCGCATCAGGTGGTGTAGATTCCTAAGCTGACGGCTTTGAGCCAGGACCGTAGTGATTCTGTTGACCAAATATCAGCATATACACTTTGTAAATGTGAAAGTATAGTACATACGACACTGCCAGTAAGCGTTATGCCATTCTGGGCATCAGTTTGTAGATTCCCGGTCATGATTCCGCCGTGGTTTTGAGCGCCCCGCATGTCGACGTTGCCTTGGTACACCCCAATTGACTATCCTCACGTCAGTTCGGGCTTTGTGAGCTAGGATCACAACAACTAACCTGTGCATTGGCTCCCAGCAAGCCTCCCTTTCCAGCCTCCCTCGGCTTCTCACTGTCCGCGATAAACTGCCGTAGTTTCGCAGCAACACTCTTGTAGTCAGATCCATCCTCATCTTCGAATCTGCACATCTCTTGATGGTCTTTGGGAATCGATATTGCGTCAACCCCAAGCCAACTCGCTGACTCCTTTGGAACTATGATGCCGATCTTTATAGGCCCCTTATACAGCGGCCGGTCTTCGAAGAAGCAAGCAACCTCCAAGTATGGTAGTGTTGGCGACCGGTCTCGTTCCTTTAGGAACTTCGCAAACAAATGGGTAATAGCTGTGAGCTTTTCAGAGCGTTTCTGGAGAGCTTCCAAGTTTGCAGTCTGGGTTGACGTAAAATGAGACAAGAACCCGAGTGCTGCATGCCCGTACTTGGCGATGGAGGATCCTTCGAACGGGGTCCCAAGAAAGACAGTACCGACAGTGCGATCAGAGATTTCCTTCGCAGCCTGCTCTGTGCCTTGAGGCCGGGCGAGGGCGTTTGCGACGACGAGGCCGCCTAAGCTATGTGCCACGAAGATTATCGGACGGGTTGCCTGTATATACTGATCAGTTTCCTAATCCTTTGGATATATAGTTTCGAGATCTAAACTCACTGTATCTGATTTTTCTCTGAGCCCGGCTAAAGCCTGCCTATTTACACAAGAAAGTCAGTATTATCCAGGAGGAGTAAGATTTCAGCTCACGTTTCGAAGCATGCAAAGACAATGAAGCCTTAAACCTGCCTAAGGGGGAAATGAATGACCGCAGGGGACTAACAAGAGGGAACTCGAGTAGTTATCGATCGTAAACTCTGGCGCTACGGTTTTCGGACTTTGTGGGTAGAAATGTGCAAAATCTTCATTGTACCCGAATGACATGATTCTTGCCGTGGGGCAGTCCTTGGGTAGGAGGGTTTGCGGCCAAAACTGTGTGCGGTACTGATTCTTCCAGGTCCCTGTTCACTCAGAATCTTGTCAGCCATTATATGATCAGAAGCGACGTATAATAAATCTCAAGTAATTAGAATATAGATTCAGTTAGCTTCAGCTATGAGGTTTTTAGCTCGGTTGATATTACTATTGCCTGGCTTAAAACCACCATGAATCATTGCCTCTGTTAGCGTATAATAGCTGAAAAAGGATTTAGTGAGGTTAGAGAGGTGAGAGTTATTTACCCCTTAAATTTTTTGAATAGACAAACTCTTGCTTACATGTTTCCGTTCTACCGCCACCTAGGCCATGTACGAAGACAATACTATCGTATGTGGTCAGTCCATGGGACTTGTGAAACCAGTTGGGCGCGAAATATGGGGCTTAATGTGAAGATCATACTCAACCTTTGCCTTCTCTTTTGGGTCGAAAAGAATATCTCCTAGCCCTTCCTTGGGCGGATCTTTAGCCGTCTGGTCCTTGCCCATGTTGCTTCCTTGTATCAAGAGGCACAGTAGATAGAAGCTTTGAGAGATATAAGATGCTTGGCACTGTTAAGGTATATGCTGCTGTGAAATGCAGAAACGACTCTCGTTATTGGACAAGGAAAAGGTCCATTTACAATTTTGGAGTTTGCATGCGACCTTTATACACATAGGGGAGCCTGGCTGTGCGTTTCGGTCCCTTTTATGCTGTAATAGTCACACCATACAGAATTTTCTGCTAGACGATTGACATCGAATATGCCGAGCGCGCCTCAGTAGTGCAAGAAGTTCTGCTGAGCCTACCCCGATAATTTTAGCCCCCAATACTTGGTTAACCCTGCCGTAACATCTTACGCGAGGAAAAAAATGTAACCCTATACGAACCCCTGGCTCCATAAAGTGCATTTTGCTTCTGGCCTATCGCGTGATTCCCTTCTCTAACAATCGGAATGTAGACATGCAATCTACCAATATGGAGGGATTACATAGTAAACTCCATGAGTAATAAGCTTAAGACTTTATTGGCACCTAATAATGAGGCTCTGCTGGGCTCAGCTGTAACCCTTGTGGAGACAATTCCTGACTCAGACTACGGAATTTGTAAGTTCAGCTTGAGACTTTCCCTGCACTATGCGAGATGATAGAGAATCCACGGAAACCCCGCATGGGAACCAGATAGCTTGCGGCATATCATTCATGCAAGATGTATTCGTCTCAACAGTTTCAGTGCAGTGGTACACTGTGGCGGAACCCCGCAACTTTACTATAGAAAGGCAGGCGAACCTCGCTGTCCGGGGTTGGGATATGGATGCCTGACAATTTGGACTAGCATTGTACTAGGGTGAGTTAACAAGAAGGCACATCTAAATTTGAATTGTCACGGAACTAAGGAAGCCTAATTTCCGATATACAGCATAGACCAAGGAATATTATATATAACGCTAGGAAAGGGAATAAAGGGCGAAAACTAGAACTTCCCTCCTTATACAATAATAAAACAAATATATAAAACTATAGCTAAGCAATACTATAACAGTTTATTATACTTAAAAAATAGGTAATATCTTTCTTTAAGGACCAGCTTATATAAATACTTTAAATTTACTTTTGGAACATTATAAAGTTAAAACCTTTAACTTTTAATATTTTTACTTTAATAAAACTCCTTATATATAAATATATAATTATTAATATTATTAATAATTATTTAATAATTATAATAGCTTTATAAAATTTAAACCTAAATATTATAATTTTAAAGGATATATTATAAAGATTTATAAATACTTTAAAATAGTTTTAATAATTCCTTTAATAATTATTACTTTATATAATAAATATAATATTTTAAATTATTACTTTAAAGGAAAATATAAATATATTAATAAAGGAATTTAAATAAAAAGATATTAAATATAAAATATATTAAAATTTAATATAATAATAAA